GGCGCCACGCGTAGCTCCGTGCCTGCCCTACTGTTGATGTTCCTTTAAAGGGATCTATAAGACTTACCTTTAAGGGCTTCCTTTAAGGGATCTATAGGGTTTAGGGTTTAGGGTTGATGATATAAATCCTGTATGACCCTAAGGACTCTAAACTATGGGAACTATGGTATATTCCTTATAATGGGTCATGCAGGATTTTGCCCATCAACAGCATGGGTGGTTGTCAAAATTAGGGTCCGTTTTGGGGTCCTTACTATAATACGGCACCTATGATTTAGGGTACCCAAAAAAGGGGCCATAATTTTGACAACTACCCATATGGGAGTTTCCGAAAATGACGGGTACCTTTTCTGGGGGTCCTTATAATAAGGATCCTACTAATCGAAGCCTTTCATATGGTTTATCGCAGAAATATATAGAAGAGGATACGATAATACAAAATAGCTTGGCTGCAGTACACTGTAGTATAGTATAGTACAGTATAGTACAGTGTAGTATAGTATAATACAGTATAGTACAGTAGAGTTTAGCAAAAACAATATCTGGATGCTTTGGAGCAGAACCCCCGTATGGTCTCTGTTGTTACTAGTGCCTGTACGATAGCATATCTCAACACCGCTATAGTGTTCTCATGTTTACGAGAATATATCCTGCCACCCTATTCTATGCATTAGGCCCTGTATCTGCTCTATTAACTACTATTGCTGCTGCCTTACCCGAAACCGTAAATAGCCCTAAACCCTAAATCACCCTAAACCCGAAATAAACCTAAACCCTAAACCATGAACCCTAAAACCCTGAACCCTAACTCACCCTAAGCCCCCTTAAATTTCATCGTGAAGGAGGCCTCAGTGCAGCACTACGGCCTGACGAAAGCTCTGGAGCCGGTGCACGGCACGCGCAGCGTGCAGAAGAAGGATGCCCGGGCGGGCTTTGGGCTATCTTTGAGGCTCCCTGTTAAGGAATCCTTTTTGGGGTTCCTTTTGAGGGTTCCTTTATAAAGGGTCTATCTAAGGGATTCTGTAGTGCTTTGGGCTTCCTTTTCAGGGTTCCTTCTCAAGGTTCCCTTTGATGGTTCCTTTAAGGGGTCTTTAGGGGCTCTGCAGGGGTTTAGGCTTTTCGGGTTCCGTGTAAGGTTTCTGAAAAGTCTTTGATGTTTCTACAGGCTTTTTAGGGGTCGAGGGTGAAGGCTGAAGGTATGGGGTTCAAGGGTTTCAGAGCGGTGTTCAGGGTTTTTTTTCCAGCGTCTTGGTTTATAGTTCTGAGTTGAGGGTTTCTGGTGCAGAGTTTAAAATCAGCGTAAGTTCGGGTTTCGGCATCCGCTCATCTGCTGTCAGCATGCAAGAAACCACAGCCTGGGATCCTATCATTTGGACTCTTCAAGAAAGGGTGGCCTTTTGCAAGCCGGCCTACACCCAAACCCTGCACCCTATACCTTAAACCTTCAAGCCTGAACCTTAAACTCGAAATCCCAATCCCTAACACCCTGAAACCCAAACCCTCAACCCTAAACTCTAAACTCTACAGCATCGTTGCCAGGACATGGTCCTCAACGATGCCATGCCACAGATTAGCACTGTTCTCGGAGAAGCCGATGTTTGGGGTTTTGGATGTAGGATTTAGGGCCTTTAGGGTTCGGGATTGAGGGTCTTGGCTCTATGTTTGGGGAAAGCCCCCCTGCTAGTGAGGTTCATAGTGGGGCACTTGGACAATGTAGGGGCCAAGACCATTGTGGAATTTCCTTATTATAGTTGTAGTGCTATATACCCCAAAACCCTATTCTAATTATTAAGGCCCATATATTACGCTTCAGGATCTCAGAGGCCCCTGCACCGAAGCTTGTGAGCTTAGATGTCGCTAGTTAAGGTGCCAGTAGGACTGAGAGGTTGGGGCTCGAATACGGTTTAGGGTTTAGGGGGACAGGGGGTTTTGAGCTAGATTCTGCGGGTTTGGATGTACAGTACCACTGCAGGGGCAGTCGTGCGTTTCAGAGGGGGCAGCAGGGGGTCAGAAATCTCGGCATCTTCCAGCTTCGTTGTTCCAGTCCCGCAGCAAGCTTGACACTCATCGCTGAACCGTTCAGTTCGTCCGAACATAGAAGAAGGAAGACCTCTGCGATGGGATGCTGCGACCCCACCCACACCGTGCGAGAGACTCTCAGATATCAGTTGGCTTTTCATTATGTTCTATTGGTGCAACCTTGTCCTCTGTTCCTTCGGGGAAACCCAGAGGGGGCTCGGACTCTTTTCGAGCCCGAGCCAGGAGCGCGAAGCTGCTAAATCTTCTCATACCCATCGCCAATGATCGCTCTTGTTGTTCGCTGATCATCTGTGCTACGACTGTTCTTGCCGCCTTTTTCCTCTTTGCTAGTTACGACCCCTAAACTAAACTAAACCCTAAACCCTAAACCCCTAAACCCTAAACCCCTAAACCCTAAACCCCTAAACCCTAAACCCCCAAACCCCCAAACCCCCAAACCCCCAAACCCCCAAACCCTAAACCCTAAACCCTTCCCCTTCTTTGCTAGTTAGGATCCATCCCCCCGAGACGCACCGCCCCACGAGGCGTGGACCCGGAGACCTTCGAAGTCCGGGCGGATGGTGAGCTGCTGACGTGCCAGCAGAGCGCCCAGCTGCTTCCGCTTTACATAGGGGCCTCATAGGGTTCCTTTAAAGGGTTCTTGAAAAGAGTCTCATTAGGGTTACTCTGAGGGGTATGATGGGGGTGTAGTAGAGGGGCTTAAAATGATTATCAATACTTGTTGCGGGTTCCTGATGACTCAAAACCCCATTCTAGATATTAAGGCCCCTATATTAGCATGTTCTGATGTGATGAGGAGGACTTTCAGGATCCGATGACGATAACAAAGACGATGGTGCCGATGGCAAACGGTGATGGTCATGGAAACGCTGATGACGAAAGCTGATAATGATTCATGATGATGGCCCACGGTGATGGCTCATATTGATTGATTATGGTGGCGATGCTGATGGTGGTGATGATTGCCATGATGATGGTGATGGTGATGATGATGATCGTCCTGCCACAGCCCCGGTTGTGGTCAAGGTACTGGTTGGAGCCTCAGCAACCAGCAGCGTATCCACACACCTGTGCCCTTTCTCTAGCTCCCGTGTGCCGGAGGCCAGTGGACTCCGTCCCTTTGGGCCGGATGTACTTCCTCTTCTGAGCCGTGCACATTTTAACCCTCGAAGGGTCAGGGTTTATGCTACTTAGCTTGAAGGCCCGTGTGGACATACAGGCAGGGCGGTAGACCAAGCTCTCGCACACAAGTAAACCGGATTATCGAAATGCTCGATCACTCGAACAGTTGAACGAACATCTCATGGCATCGAAGCAATTGTGGAATGCTTGCAGGTCGGCGTACAGCTGTGTTGGAATCAAGATAGCCCTCTGTACATGATCATGAACCTTGGTTGATTTGCAGGTCATGTGGTCTTGAACAGCTCCAGCTCCAAGCGTTGCCATAAACTTTGGTCTACCGCAAGCAAGCCCGAAGTCTCTAAGTCTTACACTCTACACCAGCATCTGCAACCCCTGAGCCGTAAACTACGTACTTCGGATCAGCTGAGCTCCCTTAGAGCGACGCTGTGGTCCCAACCTGATGGCACGTCTAAGCTGCAGGATGCCTGGAGCCAGCAGCACAGAGACAGGACAGCCTTTGTCCTGAAACCCTTGAACTTATAGAAGACCATTAGATCCATCAAAAACCCCAAACCCCTAACCCTCAGATCCATTGAGCCCTGACACCTCAAGCCTTTCAAAACCTGAAGGTTTTCTTAAAGCTTTAGGTCCTACCCCCTTAAACTACTAGATCCCTAAGCCATCAGAGCCTGAAGCCCGCAATCCGGTCAGATTCTAAACCAGCCGTAAGACACTGAAGGACTTTCTTTACGCAGTTTCAGAAAAACAGGGAGCCTAATACAGACACGGACTTAGTTGGGTCCTATGTTACGAGGACCCCTACTGTGACACTTAGTTTGCCGAAGCCTTCGTTTACAGAACCCCATGTACCCCAGAAAGCCTGAACATGAAGCCCTAAACCCTCTAAGCCCTAAGCCCTAATACCCAAGGGTAGCCTTAGAGTAACTGCAGCAGTAACCCCCTGATAGACCCCTTTTAAGGGAGAAGAAGACCTCCTGCTGGCTTCGGTCATCCTTCGTTCCACAGCGTAGAGACCTCTGCCATACAGGTGCCACAGTGCAGGACCCTGGTCCCAGAAGCGTCGAAGCAGATTGAAGGTTCGGGGCTAGGGATTCGGTTTTCAACTAAGAAGTGGGTGTCGTGTAGGGTGAGAGTTTGAGTCTATTATGACAGTTTCCTTTGGGTTCCTGTGATCAGACTATAAATACACCAAGACCCTGCCTTAGACGTTCTTCCCCCCCCACATTGAAGATGTGGGTTCTTTTTATGCCTCAGAGGTAGAGTTGCAGGTTGCTGTGATGACGAGTATGTACAATATTAGCATCATTGCTATTGATGTGAGAACAGCTATGATTCTCATCTGATATACAAGTATGATCGCTAGGCCTTACTCTCAAGCCCCAAGGGCCTAAACCCCCAGCATAGTAGCCCTTTTAGTAAGAAATCCGTGTAGAACCAGGCAGACTCCCCTGAAGGCAGCCCTTGGAGTAACCCCTACTTGGAATCCTGGTTGTTTTATAAGTGGTTAACATAGTTATGTTAGTTAGCTAAAAAGTTAGGTGGAGTTAGCTTATGTTATAGACATCAAAATTGTAGAAGTAACTTGTGTGTTTTGGCATTGAGGTTTAGGCTAGGGACTCTGATATGAGAAGACACTTCATGGAGCATAAACACTGGTATCGGAAATGAAATATATAAAACATGTAGCTTGTCAAACAAATTTAAAGCAAAAATACATGTCAATGGCCTGCATGGACAGGCTGTCGTGCATGGCCTATAGGCTAAAAATGTCATGTGCATGTGGTACAGCCTTGTGGCGGATTGAGAAGCACTGTTTTTCAAAGCCTGTGGTACAGCTGGTACGGTAGCAGCACAGTGGCCTCCCTCTCTGTGGTCTTGCTGTACACCATTGGGTACAGCAAGGAGTCCATGGACACGAAGCCTTGCTCGTTGGTGATGGAGCACTTGGCGAACTGCTTTGTCTTCTGTGTCTCTGTTGGCCTCCAACGTTGGACGAGTGTGGCTTTGTCGCCTCCAAGCTCCAAATGGAAAAGCACTTGGCCCATGTCCCATCTTCCGTCTTCCTGGTGGAACACCACGACGTCGTTGGCATGGATGGCACCACCCCTTGCGAGCCTCGCGATAGAGGCAACCATGGCTTCAGTTGCTGAGCAATCCACAAACTGGTTGAGGAATTGCAGCTGGTGCTTGTTGGGCTTCTTTGGCTTCACCAACTGGCAGGAGTCTGGAAACAGCCCGGCCTGTGTCAAAGTGGTGATCTCGGTGGCGAGCACCTGGTTGAGCAAGTGGATCTCGAAGGCGGCTGTTTTCTGGAGCCTTGTGGCGAAAGCAGATATGGTTTTGTGCTTTCGTTCGCTCGTAAATGTCGATGGCAGGCACCCATGCCGTTGGAGAATATCAGGCAAGTGGAGCAGCCAGTGCCACTTCCGCATCAGTGGCACGTCGAAGTTGGCCTGTTGGAAGGTCTCGATGGATTCTTCCGCAGCCCTGAGAAGGCTGGCTCTGGTGGTGGCTCCATACATGACCCCTTGGTGAACCTGGTCGATCAAGCAGGCCTGGCTCAAGAAAGCTTGGCAAGCCTCTGGGCAGATTCCGCTTGACACAACAACAGAATGCAAAAAATGGCGAATGATTGGATAAAGCCCTAGGAGGTCCGAAGCTTGGCAACTGAACTTCTGGCTGCTCTTGTACTTGGCGACCTTGCTTGTGTCGAACAAACCAGCCAAGTGACCGGCCTTGGAAGCACCTGGAAAGTTCCACATCCTTATGTATGGGCCCATGGCCTCCCAAATGTTGTAGTGCTCGGAGATGGCTTGGAAGCTCTGGAACAGCACGACTGGGGCCGTTCCTTGCAGAATGCCGTGCATCCAGTCATGGCAGAACTGGCTGACTGGCTTCACTTGGTTCTTCGCCAACAAAGTCTGGTTCAGGAGCAAGGCCTGGGGATTCCAGGTCCAACCGGTGGCTTGTTGCCATTGCGAGAATTCTGCTTTGGTCCTGCACGTGGCTCGCCTTTCGTCTAATCTGCGGTAGGACTGGATGACGTCTTCATCAGTGGTCAAAACCAATTGGCTGTATTTGGTCGTGCGGTGGTCACGATGTCGTGGTTGTCGCCTGTGGGTGGTCCTGAGTGGATGTTGGCGCATAATATGCAAAATTTGGTACCAGAATCACCTTTGGAAGACCAAATCTGCTTATGGGCACCGCCGTCTGCCAGACATATGGCCCACCGGAAATGGAGCCGGACATCGGAACCTGGGCCATGTGGGGATTTCAACACAAACCCTGCCAATGGTTCCACGTGGGCATTGGCGAAAATGGTTTCCAAGATCTTGGACATGATCTGGCAGATGCCGCCCTGGACATGGCTCACGAAGTTGGACCTTCCAAGAGAGATGGTCAGCCAGAGGTCCTCGTGGTGGAGGAATTGGTCCATCTCCCTGAAGCTGGCATAAATGGCCCAAAATTTACGTTGGGCAGGTCCTAAGACGTTTCCTGGTATCACCTCATCTGCATAAAGTATAAGTTGCCATGGCTTGGAGACGGATGATGGGTTGGCTCGGTGCTTCCTTTGGATCAGATCATGGAAGCTTCCACCCATCTGGAAAAGACTGGCCAGGTAAACCAAGAGGTTGGCAAAGTACATGGTGACTTTGGCACCATCATCGGTGGTGACCTCTGCTTCTTGGATCAAAGGACCCAGTAGCCCACCATGGCAGCTCTGTAGAAGCTCCTCCCTGGCTTTCCGCTGGTCATTGGAAGAGCTCTTCTCTGGGAGGCCTTGTTCCTTGGCGACTTCCACAAAAGCAGCCAGTGCACTTTGGGAGTGACCTGGCAAAGCAGCTTTGAAGGTCAGCAGCTGCTGCAGTTTGCTCTTCTTCTGTGGAGGTTCCATGGCCAAAAATGGCTGAGAGTGGGTTTGGGGGCAAGGGCAGTGGCAATGTGCTTTGCTTCACATGGGAATCAATGGTATGTGTGCTATATGGATGAAGGCTGCATCCCTGTCTATATAGGCTGTGGATGTCAGACTCACATGCATGGACCTCTTCGTGGGAGAAGTCTGGAACCTTCGTTGCTGAAGCGATGGCGGGCACAGTGCGTCAACAAAGACCTCGGAAGTGCATATATACACAGAAACAGCATGCTGCAGGATGGCCACGGCATGGCTTCAAAGAATCACTTTGTCCAAAGACATGCAGGCGGTCTTTTTGCTCGTGTCGGCACGGTGCACCCTGCCTGGGCTGTTGTGGCTTCTTGCTACCCTGCACCTGGGCCCCTTGGTGCTGCCCTGCAAGAAAACAAACTGCCTGGAACCATGCCTGGCACTACTTCTTGGGAGCCTTCTTCATGGCCTTGTTGGCTTTGTGGGCCTCGATGTACTCCCTCCAAGCTTGGCGGCCGTGGAGACGGGTGCCCCGAAAGTTTGGGTCCCAACAACTGGAGCATCCCTTAACATTACCACGACAGCGGATACATCCGTAGAGGATCTTTGTGCTGCCGCCTTTGGCGGCGGTGGCACCTTTGCCAGCCTCATGGCCGTTGCAGGTGGTGCCCTGGTTCGCCGAGCTTTGTCGGGTAGACATGGCTGCTGCTGGCCGCTTCATATGCTGTTTCTTGGGCTTCTGGTCGGCCTGGCCGTCCTCCTTGGCCTTCTTCTTCTTGTCGGCCTTGGCATCCAGCAGCTTCTGGAACTGCTCCTGCTCGTACTCCTGCAATGTCTTGGCGTCCTTGCAGGGTGAAATGCTGCAGAACAACCCCGAATAAGCAGTATGGAAGGAAACTAAACAAAAATATACACGTGTCCTGCTTGGCACTGTCTTCCTTGGCAGTCGTCTCCGTGGGAGCTGCTTCGACTCTGGTCGTGGCTTCAGGAGGCGGGCTTGCCGGAGGAAGTGGCAAAGCAGCGGCAGATGCTGTGCTCTGGCCAAAGACCTGGCCAGGGGCAGTTGTGCTGGCAGCACTCTGGCTGTGGGACTGGACCATGCTTCGCGGCGACAGCCAAGGCAACACTGCTGTTGCTGCGGCGGTGGGCCCTTGGCTTCCCTGCAGAGTGGCTGTGCCTTGTGTGGCTGCTTGGGCTTGGATGCCATGCCGCAGCTTCAGCATTTCCAGCTCCTGGTCGAAGCTTAAGGTGGAGCCCTGAGGTGTCGCTGGAGGCCGCTTGGACCTGCACCTGGTGCCGCCGGCCAATGAAGCATGGGTGCTTCGAAGAGGCACCTCGGGGACGAAGACGTAGAAATGTCTACATGCATGCAAGAAACAAATGCAACACGGAACAGATCCAAGTTATGCAACCAAGGGGCTTTCTTCAAAAATGGAGCCAGGCATGGGTCCTGCAGATCTGGCTGGTCGCCTGGACCATAGGCCTTGGAGAGCCAAAGCTGGCCCATCTCTGATGGATGGTCTGGATATCTGCTGGCGCCGGGGCAATTGCTGCTTGGCAGGGACTGGAAGATGATTCCGAAGTCCTGGACTGCCGAGTTGATGGCAGCTGCCGAAAGGCTTGGCTTGCCTTGCGAAGCTTGCACCATCAAGACAATGGCGACCGCTTGGCCCTTGGTGCATTCTTTTAAAGAATGCAGTCCCATGGCTCGGAGTCTTTTGGCTAAGAGCTCCAGCTGGTCCGTTTGGCTCGTGAGGGTGGACAAAGCGACCCAGTCTGGCCTGGTCAAGTATGGACACAGCCGCTGGACGGACTGGCCAGTGTTCACCAACTTGAGCTGGGAGCCGGTGTTCATGGACAAATTCTGGATGGTGTCCAGAATCTTTGCTTTCATGGCCTCTGGCAGTTTGGAAGCTTCGCCGGCCTTGGCAAGCATTTGGCAGATGCTCTCCGAGGACCAGGACTGGAATCCCTGGATCTTAGCCATGAAGGTGTTGGCCATGCTCTCGGTGACTGGTGAGTCTGGCAGCATCTCGGCCAGCTTCTGGAGATGAGCAATCTCCTCGACGAAGTCTTGGCACCCGTACCGCTGCATGGCCCTGAGAAGCACTGGCTGCTCACACTGGCCTGGTCGGGCTGAATGGCCTAAAAGGCTGCAATGAAGAAAGCATGGGAAACAAACACAAAGGAATGCGACTTGAAATGAAGTTCAGAGAGAGATATATATATATATAGTATAAATATGTGTTCATGGCCAGTTGGCTGCTTCGAAAAATAGGGTGCTGGCCACATGGCTCGCAAAGCATGGTATGGCCGATTGGCTTGCATGCAGATCATGGCAGAGCACTGAAAGCTTTCTTTTTGGCAGCGACCACTGTGGCAGCTGTGGTTTCACGTGGTTTGTCTGGAAGAAGCCATGGTCGTCCTTGGTCCTGGCAGGAGCAAACTGCATGGGTCATCTTTGTGAATGGACACACTGGCCTTGTGGTCACTGGAGACTTCTGTAGCGATCTGGCATGGCCGTTGGAGTGGTGGCCCCAGATCTCTCCATCTGGTCCAGTTGGTCCTGGACCCAGGCCCCGAACTTGGGCTCCCCCATGTACCTTGGGCCAAGTGGTTGGCAGGCTTTACCACTGAATGGCTTAAATGGCAACAAAAAAGATTGGGAGGTTTCCGGATCAAGCCTATGCTGCATGCTGTTATTGTTATTGTAGAATGAAAACTATGGAATCTATATCTGGTCGAGCTGCCACTGGATTTGTCTCTGGGCTCGTCCATGGTCGTCCTTGGCAATGGCTTTGGAAAGCCAAAGGCACTTCTGGCACCATGTTGGCGAACCACTGGCAGTCTCCAGTTGGGTTGCCCCGGTGGCGACTTGCTCGTTGGCCTCTTGGATGAAAACACTGGCCAGCTCTTGGGCCCTGGTCCATCTCTGGTTGTGGAGCAAGATGGCTAGCCAGCCAACCTTATGTTTCCAGCCCGTGCTCTTGGTCTTGCTGTGGCTGGTTCCTGAAATGCCTTGGCTCCACGGAACTGGCTCTGCTGGTGGTGGCCCCGGTGGTGGACAGGCCCACTTTGCTCGCAGCATGAGAGGTTTGGCTTTTGGTGCACTGGAGCTGGACCTGGCCTCTGATTGTGGCGGTGATCTTGGTGGGGTTTGGGCTCGTTGGAGCAGGTTGATCCCTCCCACTGGTGGGGTTGTTGGCGGCGGTGGTGTTGGGTTGTGGGATTGGGGTTGGAGGGGTGCTGAAAGGGGTGGAAATGGTGGACTTGGCTGGGGGTGGTGTCATTGGAACCTCCTCATGCACTGTCTGTGGCCTTCGGGTGGGTGGGTATTTGAGCTTGGGTTTGGGTGTGATGGTGGTGCTGCCTGCTGGCGGTGTGATGGGTGTGGTGCCGTCTGGCGGCGGTGTGCCGGGTGTGGTGCCGTCTGGTGCCGGTGTGTTGGGTGTGGTGCTGCCTGGTGGCGGTGTCATGGCCGTGGTGCGGTGGAGTGTGTGGGAGGGGCTGTGCTGGTGTGTGGGTGGCGCTTTGGACGGCAGCTTGGGGCCCATGTCTGGGCCACTGACAGGGGCTTTGGGCTGGATGGTTTGGATGTATTGGGCGCTTGGTTGAAGCTGCTGTGGGGCAAAGGACACTGGGAGGCCACTGCTGGCGGGACACTGGACTGGTGGTTTGGGTGCTGTGGGTGCGGTGGCAGCATGGCAAGCGGGGATTGGCCATGTTGCGGGCGAAGTGGCGGGGGGGTGGAAGGGGATCCTTGGTAGGAGTGGATTGGTGGTGGGGAGAAGAGGTGGCCTCAAAGCAGGTGTGTGCCAGTGCTGGCACAAGTGGCCTGGGCCGAGCATAGCCAGTGCATGGGTTGGGGATTGGGCATGGGTTGGGGATTGGGACGTGGAAGGGCCATGGCATTGGGGGGACGGGTTGGGCAATGGGGGGTTTGAGTTTGGGCGGAGGTTGGGCTGTGGTCTGCTCGTCGAAAGGTGTGACGGGTGATGGCGGGGCTCCTGGCTGTGTGGGGCTGGCTTCGGTGGGAGCTTCCGGGGATGGGCATCGCAGAGGGATCTGGACCGTTGGTTGCCCTGGTGGGCCTTCTTCTGGCAAGGTTGGGTCGGCCAGCTCCTCTGTGGGCACCTCGGTGGGGTGCTCGCTGGGGCTCGTTGGCACCTCCGTCGGCGACGTGGCCATGGCTGGCACTCTGGAGGACGACTGAGTTTATGTGGAAATATTTGATGATGTTTATATGGTGGCTGTTATGTATGTAAAATGGCTAGATTCAGAATTTGAATCTAAATGCGGATATCTGGTAGTAAGATTCAGATTCTGAATCTTGGAGAATCTTAGATTCAAAATTTGAATCTAACTACCAGAATCTGTGAATTAGATTCAAATTCTGAATCTACTATATTTCTTACTTTGGCAGTATGGTGACATACAAAACTTCTGTCTGTGGCTTCCTACAGTGGTTCGAGCACTCTGGGCTGCTCCGAAGAGCAAAGATTCTGGCAACAACTGTGGTCACGTACCTACCTGGGCTGACAAAAGGGACGGTGTGGTATGGCCAATTGGCTCCCTACAATGGCGGTGCAAACAGTCTGGCATGGCCACATGGCTCCCTACAATGGCTTGGCTTGCTGCTACGAAGCTTGGGTGTTCTTGCAGAAAGTTGGCTGTTTCAGGAGTTGGATTTGGTGGCTTTTGCTTCAGGGCCTGGCATAGGAATGGCGCTTGGAGCTCTCGGGTTTCGCAGGTTTCGGCTTTGGGGTTCATGGGTACATCGTTCTGGGTTTATATGGGGTCTGGGGTTTGGGGTCTACTGAAGTGAACCGGCACTATGGATCTCCACTTCTATTTCAGACCCTAAACCATGAAGCTTATAGACCCCTATCGGAATGGATGCTGGTCTCAAGCTTGGTGCCCCTGTTGCTGCTGCTGTGGCCGTGGCCAGCTGTCCTTCTTGGTCTTCCAGTGTGCAGCTGCTGCTTGCTCTGGTTGTGACTGCTCATGCTGCTGTTCTTCTTCTGCCTGTTTCTGTTGGTGCTGAGTATATGATACATGGCTTACAAAGATATCTTCATTACAATCAGAATCTAATATACAAACAAGTTACTCCAGACAAATCATTTCTATATATGTCTCTATATCTGTACAAAACATGTATGTGTCCTTCCATGGATGTTCACCCAAATGGTCTTCTGAACATATAGAAAAAAGCATACATCTGTGCAGATATAAATATATAACCGACAAAAAAAATAACACATGTGATGGCCTTTGTGGCTTGGCATGTGACAACCTGCTGCTGGTATGGCCATGGAAGGCTTCTGGAGTTCAAGCACCCTTTTTTTGGCACGGCTTGGAGATGCTGCTGCTGGCCTGCATGGTGCAGGCTGGGTCCTTCAAAAAAACCAATGGCCTCCATACCTTTGCAGCCATGGCCGACCTGGGCCGTCTGGAGAGAGGCCCTGGTGGCATGGAAGAAAGTGGCCCATGGTGCCTGGTTGCTGGTGGTGGGTGGCCCCTCACCACCTGTAGACGAGGCCTGCTCCTCCCGCCAAGCTGGTGATCCATGGGGAATCACACTGGGTGCACTTGGCATTGTGATAGAGCTTCCAAAGAAAGATAGTGGAGCGGTGGCATACCACACACCGCAGCATTACGTGCGGCCCGATGGGCTCCTCTGGTGGAAGCATGGCACTGCTTGGGAGGGCCGTCACTGTCCCCTGTGGTGGAGGCTGGACGGGCTTGGAAGAGACGGCCGTGGAGTCCGTGGAGTCGTGCTTTGCTGCCGGCTTCTTGGCCCTGGGCTTGCTCCTGGTCGTGGCCTCCTTGGCAGCCGCTGGCTTTTTGACTCCTTTGACCATGGCGGCACTGGAGTGGAGGCTTTGGCTAGCTGTGGGCAGCTCGCTATATGGCCAAAAGAGGCTGCAGCGGAACGAAAAAGAGAGACGAACATGTGTGCCATGGCATGCCTGGCCACTTGGCTTTCAAACAACAAACTCAATGGCCTGGCATGGCCACAACGGCTCAGGCAATCGAAACTGGAGGCGTTTTTTTTGGCCGCTGGTGCACAGCTGCTGTGCTTGGGTTTCCGGCAGCCTTCGTGGTCTTCTTGGTCTTCTTGGTCTTGACGAATGGTCTGTGTTTTGGCAAAAGCTGTGCTCCTGCAGCATGGACCTGCCTTGCATGGCTCTGCACACAGTCTGGTATGGCCATTTGGCTCCCTAGAATGGAAGTGCAAACAGTCTGGCATGGCCACTTGGCTCCCTGCAAAGGCTTGGCTTCACCCTACGAAGCTTGGGGGTTCTAGAAGAAAGTTGGCGGTTGGAGGACTTGGATGGTGTTGGCTTTGCTTCAGGGCCTGGCTTAGAAATGGCGCTTCGAGCTCTCGGGTTTGGGAGGTTATGCTTTGGGATGTAAGGGTATATTCTTGTGGGTTTAGGGTCCAGGGTTTAGAGTCTCTTAAGGTCAAACTGCACTATGCATTTCCACTTCTATTTCCGACCCTAAACCCAAAATGCTGAGACGTGACGGCATGGCATGGTCCTATGTACACTTGGCTTTCGCACAACACAGCAACTTGCCTGGCACGGCCACAGTGGCTACATGTCCCTCGTATATAGAAACAGGACAAAGCTCTGGATTTTCTGCTCTGGGCCTGCAACTCTGGCTGCTGTGCAGCGAGTTCATGTGGCCTGCATTGACCTCACATATGCGGTCCGTCTTGAAGAGCCTGGGCCTGTGATGGCCATGTTTGGCTTTAGCAATCACGACAAATCCCTGGCATGGCCATGCAGGCTGGGATGTGCATGCACTCGTCGAACTTGGCATGAAGTATAACAAAGCAAGCATGACATGGCCCCTGAAGGCTCACTTGCTCCAGGAGAGTCCTGCTACATGTACTTTTCCTCGCAAACAAGCAGAGTGCATGGAAGTCTGCATCAACTGGTGCGGTACCTTCTATGGAAATCCTTGGGCAGAGCACATTGGCCCCCCCATGGCTCGTAGTTGGGGTCCGCCCACATCATCTGCCACTCCTCCCAGCCACGGCCGTACTCCCAGGGTTCTAGAGGCGGAAGATCTGGCTTCTCGGTCTTGGAGTTGGCTGCTGGCTTCTTCTGGGCTTTCGCCTTGCACACAGGTGCTGACTTCTTCTTGGCCTTCGCCTTCCTGCTCTGGGCAGCTGCCTTGTGGACCACCTTCATGGCTTTCATGGGGGCAGCAGGCTTCTTGAAGACCATGGCTTTGGGCATGGTGCAGGCGGAGGAAGCTCTTGGGAAGAAGTGGCTGGATCAAGCAGACAATTACAGACATGGTATAGCCATGGTGGCAGGCTAGAAAGCAGAATCGGTGCTGGGACAGCCACAGGAGGCTTGCTCAAGTCACCTGGATCCAAGAAGGTGCTTGTTTTTGCCGCAACAGCCTGGTCCCTGCAGCTCTGCAAAACTTGGAACCCTCAAAACTCCTGCAGCTCTGCATGGTGCAAGGATGGATCCCATGTGCATGGCCCATAGAGGCTGGGTCAGCCCTTCCTGGGCTTTTTCTTGGCTGAAGCCGACGTGGCTGCTTCCTCCTCGACCTTCTGCAAGATTTGCTCATTGGCTTGGATCTTCGCAGGGTTATGGAGGATGGGCACGGTGCATGGCCCCTGCTTGATCGTAGTCAAGACCATGTTGCCCTCATCCTCGCCCTCTGCTGTCCTGCACCAGAAAAATGGCACGATGGTGCCCTCTGCCTGGAACTGGAGGTCCTGCTTCCAGCTTCCAATGGCCCAGTCATGGCCGAAGGCCTGAATGGCCAGCTTGGGCGGCTTCTGGCCTGTCTTCACTTTGCTGATGGAACCCAATGGAACCAGCTTGAGCTTTTTGCTGGCAATGGCTTTCTTGGCATACAGTGCCTGGGGACTGGAAGCCATGCAAAGGAGTTCCAAGTCCTCGACCGACTGCTCCTGGTAGCATTGGTGGAGTGCCGTGACCACAGCTGCCTTTTGGAAGTCCTCCTGGGCCATGGCATGGCTGGATGGGAGTCCCCTGGTTATGATGTCGGCTGGGCCGATGGCTGGCATGGAGTGGCGGGAGACCCGCCACTTCCCCAGCCCCGCCAGCGGCACATGGGCTGTCTCCGGTGCCTGGAGCACTGGCCTGTGCTCCAGGGTCCCACCCTCGTTGTTGATTTGCAGGAGCTGGTAGACCTTGGCTCCGTGCTCCTTTGGCAAGATGTACCTTGGTTTGTGTATGGAATGTATCTACAGCAGAATCTTATGAGGGAACAGACATTAAAACAGCAAAACTCCTATGTGCAATCATGGGCACTGGTCGCCCACCTTGATGTGGGTGTTCTGGAGCAAGGTGGCTTCCCATGGCTGGGCAGAGACTGCATCCTTGATGGTCTTTGCCTCTGCAGCTGGGGTGGCCTGCTTGACCTTGGAAACGTCCTGGGTGAAAAGGTCGAGAATCTGGGCCAGGGACTCCAGCTTCTGCTGGGCATCAGGGCCAAGCTTTTCCTTTTTGGTCAGAAACAAGATGGCTCTGACGCAAAACTTGCCGAAACACTTGTAGAGATGGTTGCTGCCGGCATTGGTGCTGGTGCCTTCTGGAAGCTGGCTCTGGACCAGTTTCCAGGAATCCGAAAGCATGGACTCCGCCGTCCTGACGGACTCCATGTTCTGTGGCGACGACAGTCTCTGGACGTCGGCTCTGGTGAGGAGTCGTGCGAAGCCGTCTTGCTGTTTGGTGGATGTGCACTGGGTTGCCCATAGAGCTGTGCGGAGCAATGGGTAAAGGTTGCCAGGGTCTGGGAAGGTGGTGTGCGACAACGCCTCCATGAAATCCTGGCCCATCATGCACGTGGTGCCGTAGGTGGAGGAGAAGTGGGAAAGGAATTTCAGCAATGGAAAGCTTGTGCCTCCAGAGTATCTCGAGACATAATGCCCTATGGCTGGGAGGCTCTGCCTGCAGGCAACTTCGCCGCTGGCAACGGACTGGATTGCCGACTCCAGACTGGCTCCCATTTGCACTTGAATGGCTATTTGGCAGGCTGCTTCCAACTCGCTGGTGGCTCTGCCAATGGCATTGCCAGAGTTGGCTCCGACTTGGAAGAACTGTGGAAGGCTTGGCATGGCTTCTTCCACACTGGAGGCCACCACATGCCACCGCCACCCGGTCTGGATGGCGGACCAGACTGGGTCTGTCTTGGGCACGGAGATGGCTTTGCCACTGGGATCCGTGGTCCCATGCTCCAGGCATCTCAAGAATGCCGTGGTGTGGCTGCTGGCAAGGGATAGGTATCCTCAGTGGCCAATGTATGTCTACAATATACATTTATCCGCAAATTGTAAATGGATTGGATATATAGAGAAAAGGAAACCAATTCTATGTGTCATCTGAGTGGCCCTCTGCTCCACTGACTGGGGCCAGGGAGCCCTTGCTCTCCTGGACCAGCTGCTGGTTCCTCCAAACCTGCTGCTGGCGCTTTTGGGGGTCCGTGGACATCTGGAGACAAATGGACCCTTGGAGCAGATGCACTTGCAGGCCAACTGCCAAGAGTTGGTGTCCCTTGGCCCAAACGTCAAAGTGGGACACCATCTGCCCTCCCCGGTTGGAGGGGTGGCAAAGAACTTGGCTTGGAACCAAGGTCTGCTGCTGGCAGAGGCCATGGTGCTCCAGCACCTGCAAGACCTTGGTGACTCTGGTGTTCACTGGCTCGCGGCCATTCACAATGGCCTCCACCTCTTGGACCACAGCTGGAGGGACAGCCATGGCTTCTGGCTTCTGTGCGGCTGTGGCCTTGTCTGGTATATCCTATCTGGAATTCAAGTGTGGCTGTGCCGGGCAACTTCTTTCTGCTCGTCTGGAACTGCTGGATTCTAACCACCTGCATATATATCTGTCGGGTTCAACAGTGGCATGGTTCTGCGACCATGGATATGCATGGATGGCCTATACTGGCTGCAGGCAGACGATAAAGCAAACAAAACTGTATGCATCCCTTCAACACTTGACACTTGCAAAACTGTTCTGCAGCAAGCCTTTTCCTGCGAAGGCCTGGCAGAGTCTGGAAGAGTCACTCCTGGACTGGTCGTGGCTACTACCTGGCTTTCTTCTTGTAGCTTCTTTTGGCCTGGCCGAGGACTTGGGCCGTATCCTCATCATTGCGAATGGTCTTGATGATGGTCTCGATCTGGTGCTGTTCGAGTTGGATGGTGAGATCGCACCTCCTTGGCCTCTTGCCACTCATCAAGCAGGTGACTTTGGAACCATTGATGTCCATGGCAACTTCTTCTTCTTGGTTGTCTGGAAGAGACCTCTTTCTGGTCGACTTCTTTCCTGAGCCTGGCTCTGGAGCATCGAAAAGTTGCTCTGCTGGTGTTGCTGGTTGGTCGAAGCTCTGGTTCCTCTTCTTGATGAGATTGGCCATGGCCGTAGAACCCGACAGACTGGCATTCTTGTCGGGTCTCTGGCCTGTGAGCAACTCAATTATGGGTTGGGAAGTGGGCCGAAGTTGGAGCCACTGTTTGTCCTTGGACAGCTTCACCAGATCCTTGGGGATGAGGATTGGCCTCTCCGACTCGTACTTTATCTGGATGGCCGCACGAATTTCCACCATGCTTGGAAGCTATGGTGGACGTGGAAAGCTGTAGCTGGCACTCGCTATGGCCGGGTGGCTGCAGCAAACATACCATGCAATACAAAGACATGAGCACACTGCTATGGCCGTCTGGCTCCCATGATCACACACATGCAATGCCAAATACAAAAAATCGAACAACAACTCTGATAAATTATTTGCTAAAAGCAAACAACATATATCTCTGGCAGTCCATACTATAATCTTCAAAATCAATGATAACATTCAGCAAAAACTTCGATTCCATTCTAAAACCCATGATTTCTTATCTTATACCTTCAGTGCACTCGACGAATTATGCACCACAAATCAGAATACATGTCATTGAAATATTACATCTCCATGTATGAATTTCGTATTCTTAAAGCCTATATTTCAACATCCATAACTCCATGTAACTCACCCTAACTTTTATAAAAGGTTAAGTTAATTATGTTACTTAGCTAACAAAATATTAACTTTAGTAACATAACATAAAAGATATAAGTATTATAGGAACATGTAATCACTTAATAGACGGTTAACACTCACTTATAACAGTTTAATAACTAGGGTACAACTCCACATAACTATGTTAACCACTTATAAAACAACCAGGATTCCAAGTATAGTCACCCTATCGAGCACTACTAGAACACAACGGTCGACACCGTCGACACCCCGTGAATGGGTTCTTGCTGTCTAGGCCCAGGGCCGTTTCAGCCGTTTGGATGACGGTGGAGCCTAACAGTCGAAAAAGCGCAGTCGGCCGGATTTGGCGTCATGGGGTTGCGGGTTCAAGGCAGATTAGGTTGTTGCAGGTCTAGGCCTGTAGTGTTTGAAGTTCTTTGAGGTCTTTAATTACAGACGGTCAGGGTTCAGGCTTTAGGACATCTTTAGGTCTCAGCCGGCTCAATGCCCTCCGTCTCCAAACCGACGCTGAGGGCAGAGCACCATAGCAGAAGCCCGCGGGCCCACAAGTGACATAGGGACTTCAATAATTCGGAAAGGGATTTACGGTATACCGGAGTATAGTAAGGACAAGAAGGGGATGCCGTTGTACCCTAAACCCTAAACCCTAAGCCGTTGTTACTTGTGCCGACCCCTACACTACTGACTACTGACCGAGGGACTGGGAGTCGGAGGTCGGAACTTCAGAGTTTAGGGCTTTTCGGAACCCCAAAATGCAATGAACTCCTGCGTACATCTGGGTTTCGGTTGGAGTTGAACAGAAACCCAATTCTATGAAACCTAGGTCCATGAAGCACATCATTGCAATCAGAAGAGAATATTAGCTAGCGGAGTCTGTGCTTTGCGGTGCTCGGTAGATACGTGCAAGCGCGGCTCTATTGGGGTTCTGGCACTCTCTACTGAGATATGCTGTTTCTCCACTGAAAGGGACACACCATCAGAGTAGGGCCGCATTGAACCTCTGTAGGAATGTTCGCCACCACCATCACGCTAAACCCCGACCCTGAACCCCAAACCCTAAAGCCTACAGTGTCGCGAAGCAGCCCCGCTTGACTTGACTTCTCCCCCTTCGACAGGGGATGCTGGGCTTGCTGCCTTCCTGCGGAATGGAGATGTCCTGGCGAGTGTTGTTCAGTGGTTGCTATAGAAGCCTAGACAATTCGTCACATTCCCTTAAAAGCTCGTCTAAGGCCTCTACATTCGGATCTAGGGTTACCGGAATCTAGGATTAGGGCCCGAAGCCCCAAACCCGACACCATTAAACCTGATCAAATGGACAACCTTGTACTTTGCTCCCCAACCATTCGAATCCAAGCCCTCTACGCTTTCATGTGTCGGTGCTTAAAGACTCCTTCATCCCGGAGGCTGAGAAGGTACCAACTAACTTTTAATTTTGGCTTTAAATATGGGAAATAGCTCTACTAGAATTCAATCCTTTACCTTTGGGGCAGAGGAACTCATCAACCAGGATAGCGATCGTGAAGAAGCGCAGGAGTCGTGCTGATGCATCCTATTCAGGCCAAGGTAATCGTAGTCGCAGTAGCAGTACAAGGCCGGTGCAATAACGCGGAGTCACGCCTCACGCCAGGAGCTTCTGAAGATCTATTCCAGCGAGTGCACCATTGCAGCACGGAAGGCCTTGCGGACGTTCAGGGTTATATAGGGTGTTTTGTAAGAAAATTCGTCTGAAGTTTGCGAGGATAACTCTAGGGATTAAGGGCTTAGGATGGTGCAGGGTTTGAGGCTTAGGGGGCCCTTGTGCCTAGGAGAGATGGTGATGTTTGTTGTCCTGGTCATTGCGAATCCCAGCCCTCCGAACTCTCAAACCCCAGACCCTGAAGCCTCTACCTCCTCTCGAGGACGAAAGGCCTGAGCCTAAAGCCCCAGGACGCCCTGAAACCTTGAATCTCTAGAAACATTACAAGACCCCTTCAGCACTCTGAATGCTTAGAAGAACCAGCAAGCATCCGTGATGCAACCTTTATGTAGCTCTTCTGGAACCAACCCTCACGGAAGCCTTCTAGAATTCCTCTCGGACCCTTGAAGCCCTGCAAATCTCAAACCCTACAACCCTATAGTACCCTTTCTAGCAACCCTTCAAGAAGCCTTATAGATCCCTTACAGGAGGCCAAAACCCCAAGCTTAGACCCAAACCCTAAACCCTAAACCCCTAAACCCCGAAACCCTTAATGCCTAAACCCTAAACCCCTAAACCCTAAACCCTAAACCCTTAAACCCTAAACAAGGTTCGACCCACCGCCGCACTTTCGCTTGGCAGGTCAACCAATTGGTGGAGCGATGCCTCCTCGAGGCTGCCGAGGCAAACGGGTTTCTTAAAGTTTAGGGGTACCTTTAGGGGCCCCTATGTCTTAAAGTTAGGGGTACCGTAATTTCCCTTAAAGGGGTCCTGAAAGGGAGCAAAATGGGCTCTGTAATGGGGGTTATTGTGGGTTTCTGAAAGTTAAGGGGTAGCTTGTTTTGGGGTCCTTATAATCAGGATCCTACTCTTTAGGGTGCTATACTAGGATCCCTATTTTCGGAAACTCCCAGATATGATTAGGGCTTCTTAAAGTTAGGGGTACCTTATTTTGGGGTCCTTAGAATCAGGATCCTACTATTTAGGGTACTATGTCAGGGTTCTTAAGGGATCAGGCAAATGGGCTTCTTAAAGTTAGGGGTACCGTAGTTCCCTTAAAGGGGTCCTGACAGGGATCTATAAGGGTTCTATAATTGGGATTATTGTGGGAGTTTCTGAAAATTAGGGGTGCCTTATTTTGGGGTCCTTGTAATCAACTATTTAGGGTACTGTACTAGGGTCCCCTATTCTACGGGAACTCCCAAACAGGTTCCTGAAAGGGAGAATAGCTCCTTCAAGAATTCCTGTAAGGGTTCCTTTCAGGGTTTCTTTGAGGGTTTGGGGTTTTGGCGCTCCTTTATAGGAGCTGAAACATGGAAAGAATAGGGTTCCTGTGAGGGTAGCTTTGAGGGTCCTCTTTTGTACGGGTTCCTTCGAAGGGTTCTGAGCGGGTGCTATGCGGGCAACAATACCGGGTATCATAAGGGTTTAGTAAGGTTCCTTTCAGGTTCTTTTAAGGGTTCCTGTAAGGGCTTTATGGTCGGGAGGCTTAGATTTGAGTTTTGGCAACAAGGTTGAAGGGTTGAGTCTACAGGCGTTGGGTTTAAGATATACGCTACTCAGTTTAGGGTTATATATGTTTGGTTTTGGCGTGGAGGGCACGATGGATGAGGCTGTGCCATTCGCCTGCATGCGTTCCGCAGCGGTAAGTTTCACTGCGGGAAGATTCCAGACTCCTCACATGGACCCTTATGGAACCCTATCCCCCTGTATCCTCAACCCGTGACCCTCGTGTCCGTTGAATTGAAGTTGGGCGGTCCACCCCGGGTTTGTTTAAGTTTCGCAGGTCGCCATTCTTGTCCCTCCCACTGGACTCGATTTAGGGCGTCCGTCAGAAGCCCCGCTGACAAAACGCTGACTGCCCGTACATCCCAAGCACCATTCTGGAGTTTCCGAGAATAAGGGGGATCCTAATAAAGTACCCTAGATAGTAGGATACCCTTATTACTAGGATCCCAAAGTAAGGTACCCCCCTGTTCTAGATCCCTTTAAGGACCCCTTTAAGGAACTCCCACTTCTGAAGGATAAGAAGGAGACGTTCTACATCGAGGTGCCGCCGCCTTGAAGCCCCGAGGGTGCCGATGGTAGGGTTGGTTTAGGGTTTAAGGTTTAAGGTTTAGGGTTTAGGGTTTAAGGGGGGTTGTGGGGTGTCGGGCCTTTAGCTGCCAGCTTTCAGGCACTCGGTCTTTATCCATCCAGAACCGTAGTCATCACCATCATATATATATATATATATATATATATATAACTAATTATGTAGATACACATTATCCATTACATATATATATATATATATATACATATCTATATTATGTATTACATCTTGCAAGTTTTGGTGCCATCGGTCCTCTGAACACCCTCAGGGACGTCCCGAAACATCCGGCGGAGCTCGGCCCTCCGACCCCAAGAATCCTCAAGCCTTGGGTTTACGGTTTAATATGGGGTTCCTTTAAAGGCGTCTCGAAGGGCTACTATAAAGGGCTCTTGTAAGGATGTCGTGTAGGGGCCTCAACAATTACCAATACTGTTTTGGGGATTCCTTATGATAACGATGGCATAATCCAACAGCCCTCTGCTAATTTTTAAGCTCCTGTATTACGCTGTTTAGGCATCCCCCAAAAAACTGCTGGGAGCCTAAGGCTCTGTGTAAATCCTGAACCTTCCAAATGCAACACTTCCATGAAACGCTCAGATCATGTTCTTGGCCCCAAGCCCTCAACCCTGAACCGCAGCAGTTGTAATGCAGTAATATAGGGGCCTTAATGACTACCTATGCTATACGTTTGGGGGTTCCTTATTATAGTTATAGTACAGCGGGCCCCCAAGACCCTACTCTAATTCTTAAGGCCCCTATAGTAGTGTGGTCTGGGGCATTGGGTTCGAGACTTTACATGCTCAAGAGCAGGCTTCCGAAGTCGAAGCTTGAACCCTAAATCCGAAACTTTCCTCCGAACAACGGGGCCTTAAGAATTGCCTATAGTTCCTTATTATAATTTTAGCTTGATGGTCCTTAAGCCCAGACTTTACAAGCCTTAACGATCAGCTTTCAGCGACTCTGGTATTAGCCCTCTGAGTAGCCCTTCCAGCTCATACTAGCCTACACTGGTACAGTAACCTGCACGCTAGCCTTTACGTACCTTTACATGACTGTGTAGCCACTTTTGGTGTTGAGCCATGGCCCTGCGGCGGACATTCGGCCCAGTGATGCAGACGGCGACAGCCACGCCCTCCAGCGCCGCAAGGCCGTGTTTGGAATGATTTGGGACCGCAACCCCCGACTAGGACATGTAGCCCTACTTATAGCTGACGTTATCCCTGGCTGGGCACTACTTGGATTGTTCAAAAGGTTTTTCAACAGAATCCGGTGGTGGAGGGATTTTGCGAAGATGGGGGAGTTTGAACCGCACCCATTTGTGAGATCGGAGCCGGCTTTCAGAACACTTCCGCAACCTGAGACATACAGCACGACAACCCTCATTTTTTACTTAGAACCCTTATGTAAAGTATAAGGCTTTGATATAGGACCTTTATGATTTGAATCGGGTTTAGGGTTTGGGATGTAGTAGGCAAGCTCCGCGACCAAGGTAGCAGCAGGATGGGCCTGTGCATCTTCTCGGCAGAGTGCCTTGACTGGAAGCTTCCAGGGCAGAGCAAACCCTAAACCCTAAACCCTAAAACTTAAACCCTGAACCCTAAACCCTAAACCCTAAACCCTAAACCTTAAACCCTAAACCCTAAACCCTAAACCCCTTCGGGTCCATGCTTGCCCCTTAGAGGTCCAGGTCATGAACCCTAAGACTCATGACTCCTGAGACCATGTGGAGACCTGTTCTCCGCACGTTGTCAGAGAAACATACAATATCAAAATATTTTTGAAGCAGAAATGCATGTAAGCAAGCAATAAATACATACAAATCTTAGGCACATACATACATACATACATACACACATACATATGTGTGTAGATATACATATATATATATATATATATATATATGCACACATATACCTGTGCTGTTGTCGCACAGTGCATACGAATACATCGTCGCATAAACGACACACATACATCACAAACACATCGGCTCATATCTACAGACACGCGGACATCATCAAACATGAACAAGTCTCTCTCTCTCTCTCTCTCTTTCTCTCTCTTTCTCTCTCTTTCTCTCTCTCTCTCTCTCTGTCTCTCTCTCTCTCTCTCTCTCTCTTTCTCTCTCTCTTTCTCTATACATATATACACATATAAACACACATGCGATATATATATATATATATATATATATATATACATATATATATATATATACACATGGACAGTTGGATGAACAGACAGATAGATAGATAGGTCGACAGGTAGATAGATAGGTGTGCTGCACAGACAGCAGATCTATCCATCTTTCTATCTATCTGTCTATCTATCGATATAAATATAAATATGTACATATGTATGTGTATCGCGGTAGTCTGTGTGTACCGTTAGATGGTTGTATCGTTGCAGTTCCACTTACCTATACAGCTGCGTCTGGAGGACCCAGTCTGATTTTCTATGCCCTAAATAGACTCCCGGTAGTACCCTTAAAGGGAACCCTATTGTAGAGCTCCGTGGTCCCCTTAAGGGTTGTCGGGTGCAGGGCTGGCCCGAAACCGTCCGGCCTAGACTGGCCGCAAAATTCCTGACCTCAGACCCTTAACCCTAAACCCTAAACTCCCGAACTCCCAGGCGGAGACTCATAAATTCGTTGGGATATATTGCTCTGTCCTATTGCTTTCTCCTACAGAACACGGCCTCACCAGTTCAGGGACATGCAGAACCCTCAAGCCTAAACCGCGAACCCGAAGCCACCGAAATGGGAAACGTGTAGTTGCGAGTCACCCGTATGTCAATGCCCGCAGCCTAGGCCGTCCGTATTCCACGGCACAAAAGGAAGACAGTGCGACGCACGGAGAAGACTTGGCAACGGATGATTTGTTGCTGATTTTACTCCAGTGTTGAAAACCCAGGGTGCAAGGTTCAGAATTCAACATGTGCAGCACCAGTAGAAACACTGGGAGGGCAATCGGGTTGGACCAGCTGCAAGAACCGTAGGAGTATCGGTTCTCCCACTATTGTCGTCGTCGTCGTTACTGCCATCTACATGACGATTTCATCTCCATCATCGTTATATTTATCACCGCCACCATCATCATCATGGTCGTCACCATCGTCATCACCGTCGTCGCAAACATCACGAGAAGCACGACGATCATCTTCGTAGCTGTCAGTCAGCGGCGCCCTCCGTCACGGCGTCATCATTAGCCTCCCCCTCCTCTTCATCATCTTTTTCATCGTCGATCAGCATCAAAACCATAATCATCACCATCATTATCATCGTCATCACCACCACAGTCATCGTCAGTATCAGCATCATCACCATCGTCATCATCTGTTGTACGTCTTACTGAAGATCCTTGTCATCAAGCCCAATTATCAGGGTTGCAGCCTGGTGCCGTCGTTCTCTGGTTACTCCTACCCTAGTGAGAACGACTTGCACTTGACTTGACGACAGCGACAACGACGAAGCCAACGACTTCAAGAATCCAGAGACAGTTTTCTTCTTGACTGCAAACTTGGCTCCGTATTTCAGCATTCAACTTCCTTATTTCCGCATTCAACTTCCTTTTGTCAACATTCAACTTCCTGCCGCTCGTGTTGGGACCTCGGCGCTCCTTCCCAGGAGTGCAGAGATTGATAACTTGTACGAGACGCTGGAACTACAGAAAGGTGCCGAGCAAAGCAGCATTCTGGGCTTGGAGGGCTCGAGACCGGTTCGGGGCCATGCATGAGGTTCAAGGAGACGTAACCGGTGATAGGTTGTGTATTGTGGCTGCGACAGACCTTGGCAGCTTTTTCGCATAGAGTTTTCCACATGGTCTTGAAGGGCTGGGCTTGCGGGCAGACGAGGTGAGATGTAGGTTGCTTGGAGGTCAGTGACCCATTGCATCAGACCTTCGGAGCACATGGTTGACATTGACTTCTTCCCGGTGTAAACATGTCGAGTTTCGAGCCGCTTGCTTAAGCTTTCATGTGACGAACACAGAGCTTGCGAACTCCGGTTCTTCAGAAATCTGCCAAGACCCAAGGCGACTCGGGGTTGAGGAGTTGATTCCTTAAGCCTTACGGGTTCCTTTGCGGGATCTGCAAGGGTTGCTACGGGTCACCGTAAAGGTACTCCAGGGTTCGAGGCGAGGGTTTCGGGTTTGCCTGGGTGTGCTCGTGGTTGCCAGGAAGACGTTGAGATATCTGCTCATGCCAGAAATGAGGAATGAGGGTATGCACGGTTATGACTGAACATCAACATATCCCGGATGAGTTTCATGATTTTCTGGTTGCTACTGCTGCAGAGCCCGTAACCCCAAGCTTCTAAAGCTCTCGGCGACCAACCACAAACCTGCAACCTGAAAGCTGCCCCTAAACCTTAAACCCAAATCCTAAACCCCCTACACCCCAAGCCCCCAAAGCCCTAAAACTTGAACCTTAAGCCATCTGAAATCCCACAAAGTGGAAGGTGCCAGCCCCGAAGAAATCAAAGCGGCCTACAGGCGCTTAGCCAAGGCACGCTCCTTCGGATTCCTTCTTGAGCTGAGGGGTTGTGCAAGGATCTGTAGTGGTGTATTGAGAAATGCGGATTTTCTAGCAGCTTTTTTTCAGATTCGGGTATGAAGGCATTGGCTTTGGGGCAGTTTTTAGGGCTTGAGGTACATGGTGACGGGCAGTATCGGGCATGGGGTTTAGGGTTGAGGCTGACGGTTGCCGTCCCATCAGCGGCCGAAGCCCTAAACACAATGGCTCTCAGATTACAACATTCAGCGGCGAATTTTGTGTCGCCTAAACCCTCAGTCCAATCTCCGTCAATCTCGTCGCCCAAAGGCCCGCAAGGGTTCCAGAGGGAACGATGAAAGACGAACATTGCAGTTTTCAGAGCTTTGATCCTGAGGTTCATAGTGAAGACAGGAGGAAGAGGTCAGGGCAAGGAGGAGGAGGAGGAGGAGGAGGACGACGACCGCGACGACGGCCATGCTGCTGCTGCTGCTAATGGCGGGTGGCAACGGAGATTACAGCAGTGAATGCTACTAGTACTCATTTTTGCTAGCTGCCACGGTTCATTGACCTGAACGAAAGCACTACGGCTTGTGCTGTACTCTTCAAGCAAAATCTGCCCAGACCGCAACCCTAAACCCTAAATCTAAAGTTCTATAGCCCTACATCCTAAAGCCTTGAACCCTCAACCGTAACTCTAAACCCGCCAAAGCCCTGAAGCATTAAAGCCCCAAAGCCATACCAGCAGTGCGCGACAGGAGTGTCATCCCGACTCAGCGGGCCGCCGAGATGCAGCTGCAGCTGAGCGGTTCCAGAAGATCAACCACGCTCCTTGGTATCATGTTGTAAGCGGTCCTATTATGAGGATAACTACAGTAATAACCCATATTAGGGGACTTCTAACCCTACTTATAACTACCCATATAAATGTCATCTAAAGGTATCTAGTACTAGCTTCCGTTATAGGTACTATATGTCATATAGGTAGCATAGATGTCATATGAGGATAACTACGTATTGTAACTATATGTCAGAAAGGGGCAGGATATTTAGTCCTAAGTAGTCTTCCACACAGTTCGTGAAAAGTTGTACCACCTTGTACCACCTTCGACCCCTTAACCAGCCCATCGCCCGACACCATTCAAACCCTCCAACCCGTGGCCCAAAAGTAGATCGGTTTCGTGCGTTCTTTCGTTCGTTCGTGCGTTTACTCCATCGTTGACGCCTCGCTCGACATGTATTTGCGTGAGCATCTCGACGTGGCCCGAACTGAGTGCGGGCGACTTGCCACAGCAGGTGTGATGGGAATATAATGTGGAATGATGGCTTGGTGCCGAGGCACACAACACGCTTCTGCATGTGGGACTCCGACGAATGTACGATCTGCAGCTGAGGCCGGAGGGGAGGGTTGAGGATCTCCATGTAAGGGTTCAGGGATGCCATATTCCCGAAGTGCCCGAAGGAAGCACGGGTTCCAAGAAGTGTGGCCGGATCTTCGGACGCGCCGCCCTGTAACAGTAAAACTTGCAGAGGCTTTAGGTCCTAGAGTAGGCCCTTATTCCCTTTTTAGGGTTCAGGTTCCCTTATAACCCCCTTTCAGCCCAAAAGGGCACACTTTTTATTCCTAGGTTACTCTTATGTCTAGGGCTCGAGAAGCTTCGAAGATAGAGGCCTCCAGCAATCCCTTCGCAGTCCCCAGACTCGTTAAGAAAGCTACTGCCTAAGGTGCACTAAGCCCTACAAAAGGGGCCTTAGTCAGAATCGGGTTCGGGGGTACATTCTACTTATGCTATAATTTTAACAAGGAGCCCCCCCAAAACCCTATTCTGACTACTAAGGCTACTACCTGGGCTTTGGAGTACCATACTGTAATAGTTTCTGTTTAGAGGAGCCATTACGAAATGAACGTTTATACTTTTTACTCCCTGGTTCTTAAAAACCCAAATGAAGGCCCCTACATTATCCTCCTCTCCAAAGGTCCCAGGGAAATTCTGTTGGCAAGCTATGAGCTGAGCCATAAACTCTGAGCCCCAACGCCCAAAACCCTGAACAAAAGAACCGGGGTTTAGGGTTCTTGTGTTCTTTTTTGAAAAGGAGCAAAGACTCCTAAACCCTCACCGAAAAACCGAAAGCCCTAATATAGAGGCCGTAGTAGTTAAAACAGAATTTCGGGGCCAATTATACTATAGTCATAATAAGGAACCCCAAACTAGTATTGGTAATTAATTATTCAGGCCCTTATAGCAACCCTAAACACGAGTTCAAAAAATCCTGGCTCGCAGGCGAAGAGAAGCCTTTGACGCGTGGGCTATGAGATTGCTGGGTTTAGAGTTCAAGGGTTCAGGGGTTTGAGTTTGTGTTTACGGATTCAGGGCTTGGGGTTTTGAGATTTAGGGGTTTGAGCTTTGATCGTGGGTCCGCCTTTCGAGACTCTCACACAGCGTGAATCTGGGGGCGGGGGTTGCCCTTCCCGTATGACTCCTGGACGACCCGATGACTGCCATGAAGCCCATGGCTACGACAGGCACAAAGCAAGCCTAAACCCTAAACATCCCTAAACCCCAAACCCTAAACCCTCCAAAAAACACCTCTAGACCCCGCCGCCTCGAAGCCCGAAAGAACCACTAAAGCCCTAAGCCCTCAAACTCCGAAACCTCGCCCAACCCTGATCCTAAACATTTGTGGCGACGAGAGCCCCAGCCTCCGAGGCCCCGCAGGCGTAGGGTTTGGTATTTGGGGTTTAGAGTTTAGGGCGCCGGGTTTAGGGTTTGGGGGTGTAAGATTAAGGGCTTGGGGTACAAGTACAAGATTTAGGGAATTTAGGGTCTTGGGCTTGGAGTATGGCACTGAGGGTTTTGCGGGCCGAGATTTGAATTTTTTGCCGGGTTTTGGACCTTGAACCCCGAAATCCCAGACACCGAGCGAGTGAACAAAGGCTTTTATCCTACATAAACCAGCGCCCCGTGTTGCCCCCTCCTTTGACTACTAATAATATAGGGGCCTAATAATTACCAACGCTATTTTGGTAGTTCCTTCTTATGAGTAGAGTGTAACGGGCCCCAAAAACCACAGTTTAATTTCTAAGGCACCTAATAGAGAGACCCTACTATAGATCCCTTACCAATGATAGATCCCCCGTTTTATGTATCCCTTTAAAGGAACCCTATAGGGCCCTGTAGTACTACCATCAGGAACCCTGAGATGCCAATGAAATCCCTGGAGCCACAAGATCACCCTAAACCCTACATCCTCAAATCTAAAACGCAACAAGAGCCCAAAAAACATCCTAAACCCCCTAAACCCTAAACCCCAACACGAGCCGAAGACGTGGAAGCATCCAAAGCTCCCAAAGCTGAAGCTTAAAGCGCGAAAGCTTCGCTTAATGGGGAGTACAGGGTTCCTTGAGAGGGCTCTGGGCTCTTCTATTCGGGTCACAATCAGGGGTCTTATGGGGGTGTAGTACCTATAGGGTTCTTATAATTACCAATACTGTTTTGGGGGCCTCTTATTACAATTGTAGCATAATGGTTCCCAAGGCCCCTATACTATAGTACCCTTTGTAGAACCCTTATAAGTATAGTAACCCATAGTAACCAACCGCCCACTCAGGAGCGCTGCGAGCGCATCGAGAATGCGGAGTCGTGGCTCACCAAAGTACTGGCCGGACCAGCAGGCTCCGGGCTGGGTAGTGCGGGGGGGCGGGCGGGGGGGGGTTCGAGGTGCGGAATTTAGGGCCCATATCACGAGTATAGGGCTAGCATAGGGCCCATTGCAGGAGTTTAGGGCTCATTTCAGGAGTTTAGGGCGTGAGGGTTTAGGTTTCGTTGTCAGTTGCCAGAGTTTGCAGCTTTCCGGTTGTAGCTTTTGGATTTTGGGCGTTCAGGGCGTAGTCTTTCGGCATTCGGGTCTTGTACTTTGTCACATCTTGTGCTTCATGACAAGTTATACTGTACTGCTCGATGGGGCTTGGTTCGGAGAAAGCTTTAGATATCTGTCTCCAGATTTGGAAGAGGTGTTTGTGGTCGGTATAGCCCGATACATGAAACTGGTGTTGTCAGAGGGGTTGAAAGCAATTAAGGATTACTTTCTTGGTGCCTTATATTTCACCGGGCATTGACCACATTCGTGACACTCCCATAAGCGTTTGATGCCAACAGAGATTTTGCATGGTCCTGGCAAGCTAGCTGCAACGGCACCTTCACATATGGTCTGGGGTTCAGCGTACAGGCCCAGGCATTCAGGGCCTTTCGGGCCGCGGCTAAATAGTTTGCATCAGCTGCAGACTTTCGTTAGCGTATATACGGTGTTTGCATGCAATTCTGTTGAGATTTCCAGGGAGACTGCTTGGTAACAACGGAGCGACCTTGAATCGTCCATGAAATGGGGCCGAGCGCGATGAAAGCGCAGGTACGATGCTCTTCGCTGCATTTCTGGGTGTTGCTACTGCGACTGCTCTGATGCTGGGTACAATGGGCGGAGAGGCGGGTCGCATGCCGACAAAACCTAAAACACAGTTTACACCATCCCTTGTTTTAGGCGGGACTTTAATCCTTACCACAATGCTGTTTATGAGTATATACTACATCTATGGCGATTATTGTGACGATTACCGTTATGCTTATGCTTGTTACTAGTCTTACTGTCGTTGCTTTTACTTTGTGGTGTTGTTGTCATTCTCATCAGTGTTGTCACTCTTATTCTTATTATTGTCATTGCTACTCAGACTGTCATGAGTATTATTTGCATTATCACTATTTGGCAATTATTGTTATTCTCGTTATGCTTCTTTGTATTAATGCTTTACTATTATTGCTATTGCTAAAACTTTGTCTCTTACTGTTACTATGAATGTTGACGATTGCGCTTACTCTGACTATGACTGTTATTGCTACTGTTACGGCTGCAGTGTCGATTGGGATTTCGATTGCTATTGCGATTGCAAACGCAATTTTGGTTACTAACCGTATTCCAATTCCTATGTCTATTCCCGGTCAAACGCCTGTCCCCATTCCCATGCCTATTCCCATTCGATCTGCGATTCCGATTTCTCTTCCTATTCCTGTTCCTGTCCCTACTACTATTACTATTGCTCTTAGCGGTACTATTGCTAATATTACCACTATATCCATTGTTGTGTTGAGTATTTTTATTACAATTATCACTATAATTATCGTCAATATTATTAGTGACATTGGGTTTTATTCGCACTGTTACCCTTACAACCTATAACTGAGCTTCCTCTTGCTGCTATTGGTTTCTATTATCACCACTATTAATATTGCTACTTACTGCTGTTCCTTTTCGTGCTTGTTCTTGCGGTTGTTTCCCAATCCTCACAAGTCTGAAGAGTCTGAAACCCGGCTCAACCGTTTTTCGGCCAGGCACTGCAGGTCTTAAGCCAGAGCCCTGAACCGAAGGCATCGCCACAGCAGTCGCACGAACAAGGACATGACAATCTGATAGCAGTTAGTTTAGGGCTCAGGGTTTAAGGTACCGCCACTAGCACCACGACCACCGCTACTAACCACCGCGAGTACGACTATGACTACGACCTCTGCTTGAATCCTGAACCTGCCATCCGGCCGATTTTCAGGCTTTCCTCAGAGCTTCGAACAGCCTCCTCTGGGATGTGGCCAGGTGACTTGCAGAACGGGTTTAGGCTAGGATTATGGGCCCAAGCCCCACGCACCGAAGCCGAAACCTAACCCAAGTCCCTCAGAAGTCGAGGTTTCGTGGTAGCAGTAGCCCAGCGCCAATCCACGAAGCCCCAGCTTCGAGCCCAGCTCGCCTGCCCGAAAAGGGTTTCAGCTTTCAGAGGCCTGGGATTCAGAGTTTAGGGTTCAGGGTGCCGCAGCGAACGATCAGGGCTCGCAAACGCCACCCGCCCAGGTATCTTCCAGACTGGCTCCCAGGAAAGTGGTACTTGGTCATTCGTTGGACAGCGTGTAGGGCTTCATTCAGGGGCTTGGGTATTTGGGGCTTTGGGGTTTACGGGTTTCGGGTTTCAGGCTTATTGCGTTGTTCTAGAGGGCTGAGGAGTCAGGTCATCCATCCATCCGTCCATCCATCCATCCGTCCATCCGTCCATCCGTCCACGCATGCGAGCAACGAAGGCGTGCTTGTTATCCTGTTCACCGAGTCTAAGTTTCAACTATCCTGCAAGCTGAGGGTTGCCTGTTCTTAGCGGTTCGCGGGGTAGGGGTCTAAATGCCAGACAACCGAAACCCACACACTGAAACGTCAACGCCGAAATATTCTCTCCTATGTCAGCAGCGGCCAGAATAATCAGCAATGTTCTCCTCTACTATAACCATACCAGAATCTGCTTCAATAGCCTATTCTAATCAAGAAGGGCCCCATATTAGGCACATCATTTCCGCGATCCGACGCCGCAGCGAGCCGGCTGACGGATGACGCGCATGCCTCTCCGAAATCCTGTTCTGCCTAGGGGTTTAGGGTTTAGGGTGTGTCTTCTAGGGTTTCAGAGAGGTCAGAGCCTCTTGAGCAAAGGGCTGTGTTGGGGAGCCTACAGCTTTCACCCCTTGTTTTTCAACTCCTAGACCGGGTCATGTTGCTTCAGCCCTGGCCCTAAGCCCTAAGCCCTACACCCTACACCCTTACTCTTTGGCAGTCTTTGCTGACTTCGAGTGCGAAATGTGCACCCGAACACACGGAAGCAGTTGATGGAAAAAGGCAAGAGCAGGGCTATTCTTTTTGTCATGGGTAACTGTGGTTGTTAATTTCTTTATGACTTTGTTTGATTTGTCGGGGTATTGGACATTCGCACATGTCAGCAACGCAGGGTGAAACGAGAGCCAAAATGATCACAGCGACGAGCATGCCGCGACAGATGCCCGTTGAGCCATGATGTGCTAATGGTGATGTTGACGAGGAGCTTGACTATGCTGGATGATTGTTCCATCGTTGTGCTTGGCCGCGCCGTGTCGGCTTCAGGCCAGCTGGTAGGAGGCGTCTCTTTTTGTCGATTGTCAATCCAGTATTGATGGGCGTGTGACTGAACGCTCAAGGTTTCTTCGGGTGCAAATTTAGACCTAAACCCTAAACCCTAAGCGTAGCATCCTGTGCATGCGAGTCTTCCCAAGTGCAAAGTCTGAAGTAGACCCTAAGACTTGTTCTTGAAACACAGCTTAGGGTGCCTGTGCGGAGCTCGCTGTGTCCCATTTTCGGGGCCCTGACATGCCCAATGCAGATGTGGAAGATCTGAATTCCGACTATGCCGATGATGCCACCTGGGTCCTCACCAGCAGCTTCGTGATCCTGACAATGCAAAGTGGCTTCGCCATGTTGGAGATGGGGTCTGCTGCGAAGGGCCACGAAGTAAACATCCTTGTCAAGAATGTCTACGACGTGGTTTGTGGTGCTCTAGCATACTACTTGTTGGGCTACGGCATATCTTATGGATCACCATCGAACTCCTTTATGGGACTGGGTGATTATATCATGGACATCTCTAAAACTGACCCCACCAGCTCGGGCCTTTTGTTCAGTAGCTTCATTTTTCAATTCAGTTTCGCTGCCACCTCCACAACCATCGTCAGCGGCTGCCTCGCCATGCGCTGCCGTTTCTGGGTGTACTGCCTGTATGCGTTCTATGCTGTGCTTGTGTATTCGTTCGTGGCACACTGGGTGTGGTCAGCCAATGGCTGGCTGGCACAGTTGGGAGTGCATGACTTCGCTGGCAGTGGCCCTGTGCACTTATTGGGAGCGGTGAATGGGTTGATAGGAATACTGGCATTGGGACCGCGTCAGGGACGATTCGATGGCAGCCGCCCTCCTGAAGACTTCTCGCCCTCTTCCCCTACGAGCATCTTAATCGGCCTCTTCATGCTGTGGTGGGGCTGGATTGGCTTCAACTGTGGCAGCTCTTTCGGAATTACCCAAACCAAGTGGATTGTTGCCACCCGGGCAGGTGTAACGACGATAAATGCAACTGCTGGTGGTGGAACCACAGCACTGCTGTACACCAAAGCCAAGTCGAGGGGAAGGCACTATTACTATCACTATTGCGACTACTTTTGTGTTGCTGTCTCGTCGGCATACAGTGTAGGAGACCTCTGTGTTTTGACAGGCTCATCGTCGCGGATGAAATCGCCAACGGCATTTTGGGGTCCCTGGTGGCGATCACTGCCACCTGCGCCTGTGTGCACCCTCCAGAGGCGCCCTTAATTGGTGCCGTGGGTGCTCTTCTCGCTTTGCTGGCGAACGACTGGACACTTGGCGATGTAGTAGATTTGCTTGCGCCTCTGCAGCGTCAGTTCCTCAACAACCCTATCCACGTCCCAGACCCCCCAAAGGGGATCTAGAAAGCAGATCCCCTACTTTGGGGCCCTATACTATTAAGGGTACTTTATAGGAACCCCCCATTAAGGGATCTACTTTTTGGATCCTCCCGGGGGTCTGGGGTAAGAGTGCCTCCTTTGTGCGCCGTACCAGCTTCGGGATCCTGGCTTACACCCAAAAAGGGCCTAAGCCCTAAGCCCCCATACGACTCAAACCGTAAGACGCTGCAAAACCCTAAGCCCGAGACCTTATAAACCCTAAACCCTAAAGACCCTCGGCCCTAAGACCCTATATTGTAAATCTAAGCCCGCAACCCTAAGATCCTTATAGAACTCTAAGCCCAGGATTGTGCGCGTGAAACTCGACGACCCGGTCGGCGCAGTCGGTGTGCACGGCGCGGCAGCGGCATGGGGAGTGCTGGCAGTAGGCACTGGCAAGGGGGGGAGGGTTGAGGGCTTAGGAGTTGGGGTTTCGGTGTCGACGGCTGAGGATGTAGGGCTTGGAGTTTTGAGTTGTTTACTTGGGGCATTGTAGAGTTTAGGGTTCTTGGCTTTGTAAAGCTTTCCGCCGCTGCGATGGTAGGTCTCTTCGCGGATGGGACGCTGCCCGGCATCGAGGCCAGGATCACGAACACAACAGTACGAAAGCTCTCCCAACGGGTTACCTGGTTACCTGCTGCTAGATGCGCCAAACGCATCCCTCTCCCTCTCCCTCTGTGTCTTTCTGTCTTCCTTTCTTTCGTTCTTTCTTCCTTCCTCCCTTTATTGCTTGGCTTTCTTGCATTCTGGCTTTGTTTCTTCCTTCCTCCCTTCCCTTGCTTGCTTCGTTACTTTTCTTCATTTCTGTCTTTCTCTTTCTCTTCCGCTTCCCCTTCCCCTTCCGCTTCCGCTTCTTCTTCCTCTTCCCCTTCCGCTTCCTCTTCCTCTTTCTCTCACTCTCTCTCTCTCTCTCTCTTTGTGTCTGTCTCGCTGTCTCGCACTCTCTGGCACTCTCTCGCACTGTCTCACACACTCGCTCTTCTCTCTCCGTCTCTCTCGCTCTCTCTGTCTCTCTTCGTCTCTCTCTCTCCCTCTCTCTCTCTCTATCCCTCTCGCTCTCTCTGTCTCTCTTTCTCTCTGTCTCTCTGTCTCTGTGTCTCTCTGTCTCTCTGTCTCTCTGTCTCTCTGTCTCTCTGTCTCTCTCGCTCTCGCTCTCGCGCTCGCTCTCGCTCTCGCTCTCGCTCTCGCTCTCGCTCTCGCTCTCGCTCTCGCTCGCTTCTGATCCGAAGTGCATGGCTCGCCAATTCCAAAAGCCCTCAAACCTCTAAACGCCTAAGATCCCACACCCTACAAACCCCAAGCCCTGAAGCCCTAAACAGCGACCCTTGTCGTAACAGTTACATAAAGGAACCCCTAAACCCAAAAAACCTGGACCCTGGAACAGGTAGCCAGCGGGCTTTTCAGAGGTGGAGGTGTACACCTCTTGGGCGTGCAGCTGCTCTTGGTCCTGTCCGTGGTTGGGTGGTCCCTGGTGACAGTGATCCTGGGCTGGTTAGGGTTTATAGGGTCCAGATTTTTCATGGATTCGTGTTGGGAACCTTGTGAGGAAGCCTAAGGACAGAGCTTTTTTTGGGGTCAGATCTCCGATGTGTGTGTGTCTTCCTTTTCTCAGATCTGGAGCTCCCACGATTTATGGTTTCGGGCAAAGACACGAGTGGAAGTTCGAAGTATATCTGGGTAGACTCTCATGCCCCTGATCGGCTTACCTGGACATAGACTGACATGAAGGCATAGAGGAGCCTCCGAAACTCGAGCGTCCTCAAGAACGTCTCATCTGAAAATTCTATGTACGCCTTAGGCCTATTTAGGCCTTAGACCCTGTACCCCAAATCGAAAGCCTAAACCGAGACTCCCCCACTCCTAACTTGCCGAACATGACGGGGTCGGAATAATTGGCAATAGCATCCCCTGGTGCCCCAGTGTAGTTCTGATGTAGTGTTATGTTATACACCCCAAACTCATTCCCATTCTACTTGTCAAGGCCCCCGCTTGGGACCCTGAACAAAAGATTCCGAAATGGAAATTTGGGCATCCGCAATGTACGACGCCTGAAAAGGATTGGCTAATGTCGGAAAGCCTCCATAAAGCGCTAACCCTGATGAAGCCCTACAAAGCTCTTGGACACCCTATAAAAACCTGTATGGAACCCGTCACAAACCCTACAAACCATTCACAAACCCTAAACCGAACTCTGAGCTTAGGATGCCCTTCTTCTACGTGGTTGGCTGTATCTTCAGCAGGGACTGGCGCAATCCTCGAAGAGGTCTAGGGTTCCGGTTCCTTTAGGGGATCGAGAAGGATCACTACACGGTTAGTCTGGGGTTTTATGAGTGAGGGTGTAGGGTGAAGGTTTAGGGCTCATAGAATTCAAGGAGGGTTTGGGGTCAAGAAGAGGTTTGCGCGTCCACCCCGCCGACGAGCTCAGTGGCTTGGACAGCGTGTACCACGGGTGCCCGCCCAAGAAAAAGAAGAAGAAGAAGGCAGATACATTTAAACTCGGACCCGAGCCGCCCCAACCCTGAACAGCCAACTCCTAAACCGCTTAAGCCCTAAACCCTGAACCCCTAAACCCCTAAACCCTAAACCCTAAACCCCTAAACTGAACCCTGTGGGCCTGGATTTGGGGTCTGGAGCCTGGATTTGGGGCCTGTGTCCGAACCCCTTGTAGAACATTGATGGGAGTTTCCGAAAATTAGGGGTACCTTATTCTGGGGGCCTTATAATAAGGATCCTACTATTTAGGGTACTATATTAGGGTCCCCTATTGTCGGAAACTCCCTGATAGTAGGCCTGAAAGCATCCCGACAGATTGCCCTAAAGTAGGCAGATGCGTTGCCTGGAGGGCAGGAGGCAGCTGCCGCAGAGGCAATCGAGGACGGAACCTTAAGGTTGGGATCATACATGGGTGGTTGTGAAAATTATGGTCCCTTTTTGGGTACCCTAAATATTAGGTGCCGTACTATAATAAGGACCCAAAAAGGGCCTATTTTCGACAACTACCCACATGTTCGGGGCCTGATGAGTTAGAACCGCATTCTGGGCCGGTAAGGGGTACAATAGGGTATGTTGTATATTAGATGAATTATAGGGGTCAGAAGACTTAGTAATATTACCTGCTTGAGGTCCTCACATCGATAGTATACACCCCAAACTTTATTTATCAGATCGTGTCCCTTATACTAGCCGTTCTACTCTTGCTCCCGCTAAGGTATAGTTGCACCATAAATTCCTAGTTCGGGTTTAGCGTTTAGGGTTTAGGGTTAAACCCCAAGGAGGACGAAGACAGCGACCTGGAACTTCCTGCGTTATGTGCAGAGCTTTAAGAGCCTGAGACTCTTGGAAGACACACGTAGGTAGGCCTTTGGGAGGATTTACACTGCCTCCTTCTATGCTGCTTAAGGGGGTCGTATTCACGAGTATGTTTCAGAAGCTGTCCAGGGCCAGCCTAGACAATGTTTTAGTAAGAAAGCTGTTTTCCCGTCATGCCAAAGGCGTGGCAATTTTAGGCTTCTCTTGGCCATGCTCTGGCCTGTCCATCGCATGCGAAATCTGCAGCCGTCGTAGCCGGCAAAGAACTCCGAACAGAAGCAGAGGATGTTTGGCTAGCAGTCTGCCAGCCTGCCCTTATATTGGGGTATATAGGGTCGGAATAAACAGTTATTTATACTATCCCCTCAGCCCTTGTGTATTTCTACTCGAATTGATTAGAATTCGCCCCAAACATTGTAACCACGAAAGCCCCTGTTCTGTCCATCTTTCGACCGTAGTGTCTTAGAGAGGATCTTTCGGTCTTTTGCGGAGCGAGTCGGGTCGTGCTCCGAAACATTGTTCGTGCGATTTGTTGACGATGCTATTGGTATTCTGGGCTCCTCATAATCGTTTCTATACCTTGGCTTCCGGTCCGGCTTCTGTGCGTCTGGTACAGCCTGACGCATGTGTTTCATGTTCTTTGTTCCTGCGTTTTCGCCACAGGCAGCTCTAGGAAACTCGGATTCTCCTTCGCTGCGGAGGCCGGAGAAGCGCGACCAGATTTTGCCAGTACATCACTCCAAATCCTGCTCCTACTCCGTCAGCAACAACAACCGCAAGGACCACAACTAATTATTACAGCTAGAACAACTACTACTCCTCGTCTTCCTTCCCTTGGTGATGGGAGGTTCTCGATGTCTCGCTGCCTGCTTTGGGATTCGTGTTTTTGGTTTTGGGGCCCTCCGAGCCTTCTCCACGGACTTCGAGACTTGCAGACCACTCACATTTAGGCTCAAGGTAGTCCATGTGCGGAACCAGCTTAGCGACAGTTCCGCAATACAGATCTATTAAGCCAATCGTGGATGACCGGTTGATGTAAACTTGAATTATCCTGAAAGTTTGAGCTTGCATTGGATTGGGGGAAGTGTGTGGATTTTCGGCTTTCCGCAGCTCAGACAGTCGAACCCCGAACCCCTGCGATCGCTCTAACTTTTTAGCCGCCCCTTCCCCCTAGTCTGATCCCTTGGTTCTATATTTGTTAGGCCGCCTCTTTTCATACTCACCTTCACGGGCTGCTAAGTGGCCCTGCGGTCGGTGCTGCCTTTGCTCCGCATATGGCAAGCTCGGAAGTCCTTGGCGAAGTGAATGCCGCTCATGCTGACGATGCGACCTGGGTCCTGACGAGCAGCTTTGTGATCCTAACCATGCAGAGTGGTTTTGCGATGTTGGAGATGGGCTCATCAGGCAAAGGCCACGAAGTGAACATTCTTGTCAAGAACGTCTACGACGTGGTGTGTGGTGCTCTGGCGTACTACTTGTTGGGATACGGCATCTCCTATGGATCACCGTCGAATGCGTTCACTGGGCTTGGGGACTATCTAATGGACGTTTCGGCAACGGACCCCATCAGTTCGGGGCTTGTGTTCAGTAACTTCATTTTTCAGTTCAGTTTTGCTGCCACCTCCACAACCATTGTCAGCGGCTGTCTGGCCATGCGCTGTCGTTTCATCTTGTACTGCTTGTACTCCTTCTATGCTGTGCTTGTGTATTCGTTCGTGGCACACTGGGTGTGGTCAGCCAATGGCTGGCTGGCACAGTTGGGAGTGCATGACTTCGCTGGCAGTGGCCCGGTGCATCTGGTGGGTGCAGTGAACGGGTTGATAGGGATTCTGGTCTTGGGGCCACGCCACGGCCGTTTCGATGGCACCCGCCCACCAGAAGACTTCAGACCCTCTTCTTCTAGCAGTCTCTTGATTGGCCTCTTCATGCTGTGGTGGGGCTGGATTGGATTCAACTGCGGCAGCTCCTTCGGAATCACCCAGTTCAAGTGGATTGTCGCCACCCGGGCGGGTGTGACGACCATCAATGCGACTGCCGGTGGCGGAATCGCTGCCTTATTGTACACCAAGGCCAAGTCGAGGGGAAGGCACCTGGGGTATCCTAGTGTTGCTGTCTCGTCGGCATGCAGTGTAGGAGACCTCTGTGTTTTGGCAGATGTTCTCAGGTTCATCATCGCGGACGAAATCGCCAACGGCATTTTGGGGTCCCTCGTGGCAATCACTGCCACCTGCGCCTGTGTGCACCCTCCAGAGGCGCCCTTAATTGGCGCCGTGGGTGGTATTCTCGCTTTGCTGGCGAACGATTGGACACTTGGCCGCGCGCTGCGCTGGTTTGCATCTGCACATGAAGTTGTGGTGCATACAGAGGTTCCACTCATTCTACGAAGTGTTCTTTCTCATGTTACGAGCCCTAAGCCCCTAAGCCTTAAGCATCCCGAAGCCCTAAACCGTGAGCTTGAAACCGCCAGCCTCGAGCCCCAGGGCCTGTACCGGCGATGTGAGAGTATGCAGCTTGCAGCTATTGCAGCTGTTGTAATCGCAATCTGAAGTGAAGGGCCTGCCAAGGGACGTTAGCAGGACAGTTCGACACGGCGACGGAACACCAGATGATGGATATGCACCTTTATAGACCGTGCAAGTAAACACTGAGTGCTTCTTGATGAGGCAACAGCTTCCGCTCTTTCCTAGCCTAGGCGACTAACAACCAGATGCTGTTGCTGAGTGAGTGTCAGGATCCCCCACGTACCAAGCTTTTGGGTCATACGGTTCCATGCCGGACATCAGCAGAAGTGTCTTTTTGCCCAATGGCTCCGTTAGCAGCTGGCAGAAGTAATCGAGCTGGGAAGCCTCGGAATGGATCGATCGACTCCCGAGACTCCCAACTTGTGTCCGTTGCGGCGCATGAAAACGACTACTTTAGGAGGCGACTTCCGTACAACATGCCGCTACAATCTCCATCCTCACCTGAAATAGGCGGAACAGCCGACAGCTCATGGAGCTTTGAAGAACTCAGCATAATCCGTTCAATTTCATACATACAACAGCTTGATTACATGTAAACTGTTGCAGTCTAGCACTCCGCTGTACATATGTAGAGGCACGCCCCTTAGACCGGAAACCCTTAAACATCTGGTCGTGGCATCGGTTGTAGTATTTTGCGAAAATAAACTGCCAAACCTTGTTCTGATGTCAAGGCCCCCAGTACCCGCTACTGGAACCTGTGAAGAGCTCTATTATATTCATTATGGCCTCTACGTTATCACATCTATAGACCCTGTGAAGTCCTGTCAACCCCCCACAAAACCCCATAGAACCCCAGATGATTCCACAATGATACTAGCGCTAGTTGACCCTATATGACCCCGCAATGATAATAGCACGAGTTCTGTGTTTGAAGTTCGTCAATTTAAAGGTACTATGACCTTGTAAACCCTAAGCCCTAAACCCTTCGCCCTAAACCCTAAACCCTTAGTAAAGTAAACCTCAACGAACCCTGATCTCCCAAACCCTAAGCCCGAGCCGTTATAAACCCTAAACCCGAAAGACCCTATGCCCTGAGACCCTATATTCTAAACCCTAAACCCCCAGAAGCCTAAGATCCTTATTGGAACCCTGGAACCCCAAGCCCAGGATTCTGCATCTGCAGATCGATGACCCGGTTGGCGCGATTGGCGTGCACGGCGCGTCAGCGGTGTGGGGCATTCTGGCGGTAGGTGGGGGGCACTTTCGAGCTTTGGGCGTAGGGTTTAGCGTTTGGTGTAGGGTTGACGGTTGTTGGGCTTGGAGGCACAGAGCTGTGGCATGCATTTCTTCTCGTAAAGCCAAGCCAGTGCCCAAGCCGTTAGCCTCTGAGATTTCAGGCCTTTTCGCTGATGGCAATTTGCCTGGCATTGAGGCAGGGACCAGATGATCAGACAGCACAGGGCTCCAGGAGGGCTTATGAGGGTGCTCACGTTCTGGCTTTTCGGGTTTATTGCAACGGTTTTCGGGGTTTGAGATTGGATGTTTCAAGCTTGGAGCTCCCTGCGATGATTGTTGTAATCAGTAGTGCATTAAGACTTAAGGACCCTGGCCCACTGGCAGGGGCCAATGTCCAACGGGTGAGTTCAGTATTCATGGGCACATGGGGAGGTTAGTAACTGTAACTACGAACTGTCACGATCATTGTTATTGCCAGGTGTATCTATGCTGTGGCTGCTGTTGCTCGTACACTAGGACCCAGAGTAGGCCCTTATTCCCTTTTTGGGGGGTTCAGGTTCCCTTATAAGCCCCTTTAAACCAAAAAGGGCACCCTTTTTATGCCTAGGTCACTCTTGGGTCTAGTACAAGTATTTCATAGACTTGCCGTTGTGTTGTTCTTGCAAGGATATTTGCTTGAATTTGCCAGGATGGTCGCCTGTTGGGGTTCGTTGTGTAGTATCATTGCCCTTGCACTTCTTGTGATTATGCTTGCTTTTTGTACATCCAACTACACCCTAAACTCTAAATGCTTGACCCTAAGCCCTAAACCTCAGACCCGAAAACATGAAGCTGAAACCCCAGGTAGAAACACCCAAAGCCCTGGACCCAACATGCCCTACTCCACAAGATCCATACTACAGGTCCCTTTTCACGGGCCGTCAAAAGAGCCCTGATACCGGAACCCCCACTTTGAAATTTCCGAACCCCTAAACCTTAAATCCGAAACCCTAAACTCTACAACCATACACCCTAGCCCAAAACCCCTAAACCCTAAACCCTAAAACCCTGTAGTGCCCTTATAGTAACCCTTATAGATTCCTTAAAGGAACCCTGAATAGGTGGCCAGCGGTCTCTTCCGGGGAGGTGGGCTGGAGCTGCTAGGGATACAGCTGCTCCTGGTGCTTTCAATATTTTGCTGGTCGTTCCTCACAGTGATCCTCGGCTGAGCTGGTAGGATGATTCAACGAATTCTCGGCCAGAATGCAATAGCTAAAGTGAGTAGTGGCAAGGAGTACTCTTCACTAGTTGCATTCCTTCCCTTCAGCCCTAAACCG